TCATTCTGTGTCTATACCCGTTTTCAGATCGACTCTATCATAAAACCTGACGGCCTGACGGCTATTTCCCCCATTCCTTGCATTTCACAATGCTAGTATATTTGAGCACCAAAAGTGACCCCGTGCCACGGCACGTGCAATAGCACGTGCGCCACGTGACCACTAGTGCGACAAGCTGGACTCATCTGCTCACCGGCTGCGTTGATTTGGTGTCGCTAGGTTGAGTGGTTTCCACGCCATAGGACCCCCAGTTGGCCAATGTCGGATTTTCCCGGAGGTTACCCCATCAAACACGTTTGCACGTGGCACGTGCTTTTCAATCGCCCCATATCTGACCCATACCATGTGGTAGCCGACACCCCGTGGCACAACATATTGGAACATTTTCAAAATCTAACGTGGAAATTTTTGACAAAATCGATTTGAAAATAATTTTTCGAAATCGCCATAGGCTCAACATGGCGTAACTGTTTGTGACGATTACCCGAAATTTTGTCAATTATATTTTAAATAATTACCCCCAGAAGGTGAGGTGCCAGCTCAAGAACTGACCCTAAAAATGTGGACAAATATTACTGAACAGATTTTGCGCAAATCGCATTTTCAATTTTTCCCCATGTTAACCCTATGGGAAAATGCACGTGCCGATTACCCCAAAACGGGTTAATTATATTTCAAGCGACCGGTACCAGCCGGTAGCTCCCCCATACGGGACCAAACGCTGAAAATGGCAAGAAAATCTAACGAGCCGTTTTCGAGGGATTCAAAATGTCCCAATTTCCGGCAGAAACGCAAATGTCCCCCTAGAGAGGTAGCTCAGGTTGGGATTTTCAATAGAAAATCACAATTCTAAAGAATAGTGATTTGTCTTAATTGAAAAGTCCCAACCTTCGGATAGGCCCGGGTAGCGCTTGTCGAACAGCACTGCGGATCCGAAGGTTGGGACTTTAATTGTGAAAAACCGCCCGCCCGCCGCAAAACGCAAAACCGCAAAACGCGCAAAACGCACGCCCAAAACGCCAACGCAAACTTCGCAAAAAAAAACAATCGCCCGCGCGCCGAAAACCGCAGAAAAAAAACGCAAAAAACGCCGCCAAACACCGCCCGTCCGCCGCAAAACGCAAACACCGCAAAAAACGCAAACCGCGCCGCCGCAAAAAAAAACGCCCGCATCGCCCGCCGCCAACCGCGAAACGCCGCAAAAAACGGCCGCACGCCGCGAACCGCAAAACGCCGCAAAAACGGCCGCCCGCTGCAAACCGCTAAACGCCGCAAAAAACGACCGCCCGCCGCCCGCCGCTAACCGCAAATAACGGCCGGCCGCCGGCAACCGCAAAACGCCGTAAAAAACGACCGCCCGCCGCAAACCACAAAACGCGGCAAAAAACGGCCACCCGCCGCAAACCGCAAAACGCCGCAAAAAACGGCCGCTCGCCGCAAACCGCCGCTAAAACGGCCGCCCGCCGCCAAACGCAAACAGCAAAAACACCCGCATCGCCCGCCCGCCCGCCGCCAAACACAAAAAACGCAAAAAAAACGCAAACACCGCCGCAAAAAAACGCCCGCAACGCACGCACGCCCGCCGCCAACCGCAAAACGCCGCAAAAAACGGCCGCCCGCCGCCAAACGCAAACACCGCCAAAAACGCAAAAAACGGCCGCCCGCCGTCAAACGCAAACATCGAAAAAACGCAAACACCGCCGCAAAAAACGCCCGCCGTAGGCAAAGCGCAAACACTGGCGCATTAAGACAAATATGGCGCCCTGCGGCAAATGTGGTGCATTCATATCTGCCGTTTAAGCAGCCATCCCTTAATTAGAGCGCATCCTAATCGTCCAATGTTCGACAAAGTTACGCACATTCTTCGCTTTTCGGCAAAAACGGCGCTTTGAGACAAACGTGGCGCACTGCAACAAACATGGCGCATTCGTTCACGTCGCTTAACAATTCATCCACCCACCAAATTCTAGCCCAATCGGACTTATACTTACAAAGTTATGTACATTTCAATATTTCACTATAAAATATCTCCGCAACGGAGGTGCCCAGATTTGCACATGTGCCACGTGACTACCGGTGGTGCAAGCAGGACTTGTCCCCTCACCGATTGTTCCATTACAGGCTTCCTGACTGGTGCTGTTTTCGTGCTATAATGCCACAGTCGGCAAACACACGATAATCTGGGAGGTACGCGACTCAAACACGTGGCCACGTGGCACGTGCCGGACCTTTGACAGCTTCACCGTTCACGCCACGTGATGACCCATCGACATGGCCATCAGCATGTAAAAGATGACCCCGGCCGGTGTCACCGTCCCTGAACAGTGGACAGCTAAACTCGAAAAACGGGAAAATTTAGGGAAATTTCACCTTTCGAATATATAATTTCCCCAGAATTTTAAATTTTTCATTTTACAAAAAAATCAGAGATAGCAGTTTTTTAGCCCCCTTCATTCTGTGCCTATACCCGTTTTCAGATCGACCCTATCATAAAAACTGGCGGCCTGACGGCCATTTCCCCCATTCCTTGCATTTCACAATGCTAGTATATTTAAGCACCAAAATTGACTCCGTGCCACGGCACGTGCAATAGCACGTGCGCCACGTGACCACTGGTGCAACAAGCTGGACTCATCTGCTCACCGGCTGCACTGATTTGGTGTCGCTAGGTGGAGTGGTTTCCACGCCATAGGACCCCCAGTTACCCAATGTCGGATTTTCCCGGAGGTTACCCCATCAAACACGTTTGCACGTGGCACGTGCTTTTCAATTGCCCCATATCTGACCCATACCATGTGGTAGCCGACACACCGGGGCACAACATATTGGAACATTTTCAAAATCTAACGTGGAAATTTTTTGCAAAATCGATTTGAAAATAATTTTTCGAATTCGCCATAGGCTCAACATGGGGTAACTGTTTGTGACGATTACCCGAAATTTTGTCAATTATATTTTAAATAATTACCACCGTCAGTTGGGGTGCCAGCCCGAGATCCGACCCTAAAAATATCAGCAAATATAATTGACGAAATTTTTCGCAAATCGAATTTCCAATTTTCCCCATGTTAACCCTATGGGAAAATGCACGTGCCGATTACCCCAAAACGGGTTAATTATATTTCAAGCGACCGATGCCAGCCGGTAGCTCCCCCATACAGGATCAAACGCTGAAAATGGCAAGAAATTTTACCGTGCCGTTTTGGCCCCAATCAAAATGACCCAAATCGCGGCAGAAACGCTAAACACCCCCCTAGAGAGGTAGCTCAGGTTGGGATTTTCAATAGAAAATCACAATTCTAAAGAATAGTGATTATCTAATTGAAAAGTCCCAACCTTCGGATAGGCCCGGGCAGCGCTTGTCGAACAGCACTGCGGATCCGAAGGTTGGGACTTTAATTGTGAAAAACCGCCCGCCCGCCCGCCGCCAAACGCAAACACCGCAAAACGCGCAAAACGCACGCCTAAAACGCCAACGCAAACTTCGCAAAAAAACAATCGCCCACCCGCCGAAAACCGCAGAAAAAAACGCACAAAATGCCGCAAAAAAACGCGCGTCCGCCGCAAAACACAAACACCGCAAAAAACGCAAAAACCGCCGCCGCAAAAAAAAAACGCCCACATCGCCCGCCACCAACTGCGAAACGCCGCAAAAAACGGCCGCACGCCGCGAACCGCAAAACGCCGCAAAAACGGCCGCCCGCCGCAAACCGCTAAACGCTGCAAAAAAAACGACCGCCCGCCGCTAACCGCAAATAACGGTCGGGCGCCGGCAACCGCAAAACGCCGTAAAATCGGCCGCCCGCCGTAAACCACAAAACGCCGCAAAAAAAACGGCCGCCCGCCGCAAACCGCAAAACGCCGCAAAAAAAACGGCCGCCCGCCGCAAACCGCCGCTAAAACGGCCACCCGCCGCCAAACGCAAACAGCAAAAACACCCGCATCGCCCGCCCGCCCGCCGCCAAACACAAAAACCGCAAAAAAACGCAAACACCGCCGCAAAAAAAACGCCCGCAACGCACGCACGCCCGCCTCCAACCGCAAAACGCCGCAAAAAAACAGCCGCCCGCCGCGAAACGCAAACACCACAAAAGAAACGCAAAAACGGCCGCCCGCCGCCAACGCAAACACAAAAAACGCAAACACCGCCGCAAAAAAACCGCACGCCGTCCGCAAAACGCAAACACTGACGCATTAATACAAATATGGCGCCTTGCGGCATGTGTGGTGCATTCATATCCGCTGTTTAAGCAGCCAACCCTCCATCAGCGCATCCTAATCGTCCCATGTTCGACAAAGTTACGCACATTCTACGCTTTGCGGCAAAACTGGCGCTTTGAGACAAACGTGGCGCACTGCAACAAACATGGCGCATTCGTTCATGTCGCTTAACAATTCATCCACCCACCAAATTCTACCCCAATCGGACTTAAACTTACAAAGTTATGTACATTTGAATATTTCACTATAAAATATCTCCGCAACGGAGGAGCCCAGATTTGCACGTGTGCCACGTGACCACCGGTGGTGCAAGCAGGACTTGTCCCCTCACTGATTGCACCATTTCAGTGTTCCTGGCTTGTGCTGTTTTCGTGCTATAATGCCACAAGTCGACAAACACACGATAATCTGGGAGGTACTCGACTCAAACACGTGGCCACGTGGCACGTGTCGGACCTTTGACAGCTTAACGGCTCACGCCACGTCATGACCAATATAAGTGGCCATCGGCATGTAAAAGATGACCCCGGCCGGTGCCACCGTCCCTGAACAGTGGACGGCTAAACTCGAAAAACGGGAAAATTTAGTGAAATTTCACCTTTCGATAGTGATTGTCTAATTGAAAAGTCCCAACCTTCGGATACTAAATCTTCACCAATCCTCCCTCTCACAAACAACTAAAACCCTACCACATGTCTCAACTTTAACTAGTGCTGAGCCCTCTCAAAATGCCCCTAGGCACGGGCCAAAGCCCTCCTTCAAACCTCCCCGTCACGAACCTCTCCCTCCTCCGGCATGATCCTCATGAGGGCCCGCAGCTGCTCTGTCCCAACGTCAGCTGCCTTGCCCCTTTTGATTAGCTCGGTTATCTCTTCATTCGTCTTGCGTAGCTGCTTCAGGCCGATGTTGATGTTGAGAGACCGCTTGCCGTCGAGCAGGTTGACCTCCTCAACTGACTTTTTCTTTTCGACGGTGGTCTTGGCAGAACGTTGTATCACCTTTTGTGCAAACAGCGACTCCAGACTGTCGTAGTCGACCGGTACGGGTGAGAGCAGGTCCTTGGGCACCGTCTGCCACATCGAGTTACCTGCGCAATGTCAGAGAAGGTCACGGGAAGTACGAGAAATCGTGCAGTGAACACACTGTTACACAGAGACGATATCGCTAATATAAATTAGACTAAGATATGGAACTCACAAGACTTCAGCTTATAATATTTCTCCGTTCTAACTGCTAAAGCTTGGACAATATCGCTCCGCACAAGTCTGCCAGACCAGAGCCGACCATATTTTGAACGTTTTTGCGAGCGTAATCCAATTCGAACTCCGCCATACAGCCGGGAGTCTGGCTGCCACGGACCAGCCGCTGGCGAAGTAAAGCACAGGCCAAAGCCAGCGCACGGTTTCTGCATACAGGAGCTCGCCGAGCTCGCCAGAGCTTTCCCAGTGTGAGCAACCGCCGAAACGTGGGGCTGGCAGCTCTGGCAGTGCACGATGCGAAGGGGTGATCGTGACTAAAATATCGCCCGAGCAAAGTAAAACAGACCTATAAAATTCCAACCATATTAAAATAAAAGTCAATCTAAGCGTAAATTCGTCCGTTATAGAGACTATTATAGGGCTTCACTACATGGATTTCGTTGCTCGCTTCATGTTTGTGAACGAGTATGTGTTCGATGAGTTACATGCTAACGGATTCACATTAAAAGCCCACACAATGTCTGAAACGTCCCCAAAGAAAGAAAATGCAATCGCTACGTCTCACTATGGTTACCGCATGATGCTAATGTGTTCTGACATTGCCTGTAATTAACACGAATGAAGCATAAAATACTCTTCCACCCATTACCGAGTCATCCTGTCAATAGGAGGCACTTACTAGTTACTACACTACCTGGTCAATGGCAAACATCGTTTGTGCATATAACACAGGCATCGAAGCGTTCACTCACCTATGGTTCTGTTGGGCACTTTGGCCCAGTTGAGCGTTTTCATCTTGGCCTTGGGTTTAGGCAGTGTAGCGAATGGATTCACTGCCGGTGCGGCGCTTAGAGTGTAAGCTGTCCGTGCCTGGATACAGCCTGGCATCGGTGGGGGAGGAGGCGGCCCCGAGCCAGGCGGAGGGGGAGGGGGAGGGATCCCGCCGGGGAGCGGAGGGGGAGGAGGGATCCCGCCCGGGAGGGGAGGGGGAGGAGGGATCCCTTGACCGGGCAGGGGAGGGGGAGGAGGGATCCCTTGACCGGGGAGGGGAGGGGGAGGGGGAATTCCTTGACCCGGCAAAGGGGGAGGAGGAGGGATTCCTTGCCCGGGCAGCGGCGGGGGAGGAGGAATCCCCTGCCCTGGTAAAGGAGGGGGAGGAGGAATCCCCTGCCCTGGGAGAGGCGGGGGAGGGGGAATACCGCCCCCACCGCTGACCGGTCGCGCCTCCAGACTGGACAGCTGGCCGGAGAGCAGTGACGAAGCCACGGAGCAGTCGGTGGCCACTGAGGTCAGTGACGGTGTCACCGACGACAGTCCGGAGGTGTCGTCCTCGCGCCGGCGGCCAGCCGGCTCTGGAGAGGAGGCGCCCGACACGCTGGGCCGCTCCGGCGGCAGCGAGGAGCGGGGGAAGGGCCGCGCGCGGAACTCGTGTGTCGGCTGCACGGGGATGGCGAACATGGTCCCCGTGAGCGACGACTGCGGGAAGGGCCGCGGCCGCCGGAACTGGGCGATCTCCTCGTCGGTCAGGTCGAAGTCAGGGTCACTCATGACGTCTGCCAGGTCGGGCTGGTCGCCCCCGGGTGGCTGGACGGGGGTCACCTTGCTGTCTCCGCCGCGGAACAGGTCCATCGTGCTCCGACTGAGGTGGTAGAGCTTCATCTTGCCGTTGCGGCGGCCGCGCAGACTCACCAGAAGGTCAGTCTGCGTGTGTCGAGAGCGGCAGTTACCCATGCTCGGGACGGATGCAGCGGGTAGTGACTCAGACCGCTTAGCAGCTGACTGACCGGGAGCAGGGATCACTGGCCCCGCCTCGGGGGCAGAGTGTCTCACTGAGAGAGGTTTCGGTGCGCCGCAGTCCTCGATCTGACTCTCCAAGTCCCGCAATATGTCACTATCGACTGCACTGTCACCGTGAGCGGTGGCTTCAGGACCGCCGAGCGATCGACGGCTCCCTGAGGCGGTGGATTCGAGAGCGGCAGTGTTAGCGACCTTGACCTCCGCCTCGACGGGAGCTTTGACCTCTGTCTGCCAGGTGTCTTCACTGTCACTAGAGGTTGAGGTGCTCGACGACTCGCCTGCTGCTGAGCGGCCGAGACAGCTCCAAAATCGGTCGCTGGAAGGAAATAAAACGATTAGGTACGTCAGTGTCAGGGGCTGAAAAACTGAGGTGCTGAAACGGGTATTTAGACAGTTGGTTATGTTCGGGCGCAATAAAGTACGCTCAAATAATGGGAAAAACAATGCGATGTATGTTGACTCTATAAGATACAACTTGTGACACACTAACAGAAACGCTGCTGTTGAGCTGCTTCAAATGATGCCTCATTAGTCCATAGATGCCGACTAAACTGCCACCAGCGTTTTGTTCGTAACCACTCTCGTTCGACCACGGCTCCTTGAATCGTCCAGCATATCAGACCATGACACCACACTGCACGGCGCACTCCTCGTACCACCACAATCACTCACTGCGGGTCACAGCAGCCCGACGGCCCGTCTCCTGCCCGCCACCTCACTATGAGCGCTCAGCGCTGTCACCATTGCTGCGGCTGGCGCGGCGCGGGGTCCTCTACTGTACCCGGCTCCGGGCCGGTCCGACCGGGCCACCCAGGTGTTTCTACAGGTGCTGATACTCGGCCCGGCGGACCCTGAACCCCTCTACCCCTCCCCCTCTCCGCCTCCCCCCTATCGTCAGCATCTGACTCAGTGGCACACGCAAAACGCCATCGATTGATTGAGTGACACGTGACAGCTGAGGCGAGGCCTGTAAACATGTCATCGTGGACAGGCGAGTATGCAGAAGTGTGCAGTAGACCCGGCGAATCAGTGCTGGTAAAGTGTGCGGAAACGAGGCATCTTCAATTCATTTTAGTCATCACTATGTATTGAAATGTGCATAGGTAATGTTTAGGAGGCCCATACTGAGAGGCGAGAGCTGCAGCTAGCTGTCATATCCACGAAACGTTGAATAACATAATTGCTTAAAGCTACAGATCCTCATAGAACAAGTAACCAGTTAAGCAAGGATTATACCATTATACCACAGTTTATACGATTGTTGTGTTTTCCATCTTCCAAATAGACAAAACATACGCCGTACAGCGACGACTTACCTGTTAAGTTCTCTCGCGTCCACTCTGCCAAGGGCATCTAGGAACTGTTGAAGATTATTCTTCAACTTTCCATCCATATCCTGCCAACATCGGTCATGGAATGCTAAGGCCACATATATAAGTGTCATTGAGTCCTCAATGTGCGTTAATACGTTTCCAAACAATTGATAAAAAACGATATTTGATCTCATTATAACTGTCCCTGTCACTTCTCCAGATACAGTGCAGGAAAATTCCTTCACTACATCCGTTATAATTGTGACACGGCTTCTTGTTATCTATCGCAATCGTATGCCCCGTTTTCCCCGAATGAACAATCAGTTTTACTCCACACACTCTTTAACCCCCCCCCCCCCTTAACACACACGCCCAGACGAAACCCTGTAATACGCTCCGTGGCCTGCCTAGTGAGGTCGACTCCCGACCACCCTCCCTGCTCCCCAGCCACCACAGGTCACTACATCTGGTGGGCCGGCGCGCCAGGCGCGTCTGCGGCTCTGGTATCTAGCAGCAAATTAAATTAAGTCGCAAGGTAATCTATTGCAAGTCGGCAATCTGGCTAAGCACCCATTAGCTCTGGCCGGCTACAGCAATGATCTGGTGGATAGTCAGATTCTAAAAGTAGCGCGCTGAGATATTCTGAACACACCTCGGAAACATAGAGAACAAATTTTACGCCCTGTATTGTAATTTATCATGGGATTTGATTGCATGACAAGCTTGATAAATGATTGTATGAAACTAACCGTGCTGAAAATGAAGGTCTCCCAGGAAAGATTAATAACTCATCTATAATACGGTTAATGAGGCATAAAATATCGCAAGAGAGCATCGGTTGCAGTGAATTTTCTTTTGTCTAGAAATCTCGCAGAGCGATTTGTTAAGTAAACGTAGAACATAACCAACTTGACGCATTTCTTTGGTATTTGTCAAGCAGGGGTGATTTACTTTAATTCCGATGACATGAATGTGTTGTATTGAAAGAATCATTGTAGTAGGAAAAATAAGGCTGGGGGTGACGTGTAAATTTCCCTTAGCCCATCACTCGAAGTCCAGTCCCTGGATTTTACTATTCGGGCCATGGGCTTCATGGGACTCGGCATCCTGTCCCAGCATCTCCAAGTTAAGCGTTAGTTCCGGTGGTAACTGATGCGAAGTGCGCACTAAACGTCAAGTGAATAAAACTTCGAGGTAACAAGCAAATTTAACTACCCAGCGACAACATATTACGATGATATATGCAGCATCATTTTTATGGTGCAAATATCATGTCATTTCAAGGTTACAGCCTGGCCCGAGAACATCACATATACCGTAGTTGTAGCCTAGTAACAAAACCAAAGTGCGGCATTTCTCGCTGTAGGGACCACTCTGAGCTCGGAGCCTGTATAGCTCAGGAACAGCCTGTGAGTCTGTGACACTGTGAGCCTGCGTGCCTCTGAGACTGTGAGTGTATGTCTGTGTGCCTATGGGTTTGTGCGTCTGTCATCTGTGTGTCTATGTGCCTGTAAGCCCATGTGTCTATGGGCCTGTGTGCCTGCCTGTGTGTCTATGAGCCTATCTGTCTATATTGTTCGGTGGTGGATCGTCCGCCTCTGACTCACCCTATGCAGCAGCTGGCTGACGATGTCGCTGATGACGCCGTTCGCCTTCGGTGAGTGGATGTTGAGCAGGACATCCCGCTGAACGAGCAGATCAGTCTCCGTCAGCGGAGGGTCCAGCTGACGCTCCAGGTACTCCAGCAGACCGCTGTCTGTGAACCGGGTCAGGGTCAGGTCAGGTCAAGGTCAGGTCAGGGTCAGGGTAAGGTTAGCGTCAGGTCAGGGTCAGGTTTCGCTAAGTTATATTACGGTTATTGCCTATTGGACAAAGGACATCCATGCATTGTAAGAAATCTATAGTTTAGTAAACAGTGCTTAAATCAAAACTGATTGTTATGAAGGGATTCCTTTTGACGTCACACCTGGCTTCAAATGGACCACACTCGAAGCTCTGGTCGCCTTTGACAGCGCGCAGCTGGGACGCGTGACGTCACACATCCTTACCGGTGACGTCACGCCGGAGGCGGGCCTTGCTGTCCGGGTTGTCGTCGCCCATAATGCCGCAGTTGATGAAAGCCAGCAGTGACGTCATATATTCAAAGTCGTCCGTCTCCCGCAGCTCAGTTAAGATGAAAGATGCCAGACTTCCCTGGAAAAAGTGCAGTGACGTGCATGACTATCAGGAAATAGCTATTCCTGCGGTTGACACATCTTGTTATGTTGTCGGAACGAGACCACTGAAATATTTCAGTTAAACCTTTTGTTGGTAATTTTTTTCACAAATAATGATTGACTAATCCGGTTCTATTCTTTGCTCGTGGTAAATGACGTATGGTAGAGCCTATACCTACAGAGTAAATCAGGTGTGTCGTTTATGAGTTGTCCTAAGTTGATGCACTATGATGCATCAAACGAGGCTTACAGTTAATGTCTCTAATGCGTCCCATTAAAGTCGGATATCAACTACGAAGCTGCATTGTAGCTGGATGTTATAGAAAACTTTGATAAATGAGAAGCTCAAATCTAAGTCATCTAGAGCTGTCAGCAATCTAAGCCAAACAAAAATCACAAACAAGTATCACAGTGTGTCACTTAGATACTTCAGATGCAATAAGGCCGCCATTGACGACAACAGCCTAAGCTTATGCTGCCGCGGCCTGCCACGGTGCCGGCGCTCCGCCCGTATGTGCCGTGCTGATATGACAGCCGCTGATGAGCCTGCTGACTGACCTGTTTGGGTGTGACGGCCTGCATGGCCATCTGGTGACCGAGCTCTGTCATAGTGACCGCCGACATCAGGTCAAGGACCTGGGTCTTCACCAGAGAGCTGCCAGATTCCATGCCTGCAGGACCATGGGATTGTAGTCACGTCAGTCTGGAAATGAGTTTTTCGAGATCGTTTGATGACGTTTCCTTGTAAAACAAATTGACTTTTGTGGAATGCAACTACATATCTCAAGTTGGAATTAATGTTCGATCAGCAATGCCATCCATGGTCTAGATCGTGGCTAAGTGTCACCCTAGTTGCCAATTAATACAACACGGAGCTAGAAATGCATTCGTCAATAAAAACGAAAAATAGAAGAAAAATAGAAAAAGGAAACAATAGAAACGTACTAGTATTGATTGTTTAAAAAGTGATACGTTCTTCATGAAAAGCGACGCTTGAAAAGTTTATTTCAAACTAATTATAACGATTAAGCAAAGCCGGATCTAGCTAAAAATGGCATTATGGGTTTTATCATCCGCCGTGTCCACATAGTGAACAAAGTGAACCTATATTCAAACTGTGCTAGATCAAAGGTTGCAGTAAACCCGGTATTACATAGACGTGTGCGTTTTTAACACTTGTCCGGGATTAAATCCGGTTATCAGAAGTGTGCACTGCGCAGTTAACTCAGATGCCGTTCATATTCACAAAAGGATGTAGCATATTAGGTGTTATATAATAATATCAAAATACTTTTAAACTAAGTCATCTACAGTGTCACTGCCGCTTAGAAAAATAGTTGGTCGATATCACTATGAGAAGCACATCCAAACAGTGCAACTGACGGAACTACCCTTTCAGGAACCTAAGGAATATAATGCAGCCTCCCTCCGACACCATTTGAGAGCAATTTACAAAGGCGCCGGTTCCAGCAGCTTGGGCTCAGTTCGTTTCTATCGAACAACGGGCGGCCGCGGCCCACCCTTCTCAAACAAGTCATCACAGTTTATAGGGTTCCTAAGCCGGACACTCGAGCTAACTATGAAATAAAGCAGAGCCACGTCGTCCCACTGGCTCTTTGAGGACTTTACCAGGCGGCGACGGAAAGTGGCTGGCTTATCTCCGCCACAGTCCTTGGCTGCACTGACGACGGAACTTTGCGACCTCTGAGAACGCGGCTAACTAGGGCACCGAGCCTTCACACTGCAGGTAGATAGTTCTTCACGATTGTTACGGTGATTGTTACGGTGTAATGCAAATACACCGAATGTGTCTGCTAGCTATATAGTGGCAACTTTAAATAGGTAAAGTGATGGCAAAGTTTGCACGATTCTGGAAAAGAAGAACATGCCCAAATGTTGGCTTTGAGGCATCCAACTTTTAACGTTTCGTGGAATAATCAAAAATCGTTATAACAATATTTCTGAAAAGTTATGGAGCTATATATTGCGAAACCACGGAATATATAGTCTACGACAGACTATATAACATGTCGTAGACTATATATTCCGTGGCGAAACTATCTCCGATAAAATGCAATCAATGCTGATGCTAAAAATCCTTCTTATGTCTAATCGGTGAAGAATCGTAACTACAGCGCTTGATTAATTTGACATGATTTTACGTAAGATGGCGACTGGCGGCAAGTGTGACATTATCAAAAGCGCACAATGTGTCCATGTGCCTCGGGCACAAGAAGCCACAGGGATACGACCTTTTCATACACATGCGCATTCAATAGGTAATGCCCAACCACATCTACCCACCGACCTTTGGCAAGCGCGGCGATGGCCTCAGCGTTTGTCAGGAAGTGTCTCAGACCGGCGTGAGAGTTGAGCACGGCGCGGACGGCGGCCACACACTCCAGCGGTACGATCACGTCGGACAGCACCGACAGCTTGCGGTCCAGCTGCAGCTCCAGCGAGGTGAGCAGCATGTCCAGGCCGTCCAGCGCCAGAAAGTCCTCCATCCAGGCGCTGCGACATGCGAGTGAGGGGTTTGGAACTCATTGTAGACGGTCCGTAACAATTAGTTATAGAGGTTATAACAATTAGTTATAGAGGAGCGACTGTATATTCATTGTTCATTTCATTGCTAAAAATACATTGCATACTAACATTTCAGCTGTCTCAGAAAACCCTCTTTTTACGCTTACAAGTGGCGACCGAGCTAGGGAAACCTGCCTCATTTTAATTATTTCACGATGATATGAAGCAATGGCAATTACAGTTTTACATTACATGTTTGCTGTGCCCGCCTAACAGTCAAACAATGTAATGTCAAATGGTTTATACGGACAACGCATTATATAAGCTTAACCATTTCCTTCTGGCAATGCCTCCCATATTGTGTTGCACAGTGTGCATATGTACATACAGCATAACCTTCACCTAACTACGCAGGTCGACTTATACCATAACATCATGCACATTACACAATGCACATGACGTCGTGCCTACCCGGAAAGTTCAGCGACGATGCAACTATAACAGCAGATCTATGTCACTGCTTAGTCGCCGTTTTGGCAAATGCTGACATCAATGTACATAAACACCAGAGTCAATGCATCTAACCGCTTCTTTGAAATTGCCGGCATTTAGGTCACCCCTGGCGTATACGTCTTTACTTATGTCAACATTAACGTCTATGTATTTAAGCACCAGCCTCTGCTCCCCCCAATGTCTTTGTGTGTCAACACTAGTGCCTATGTATCTAACCACCAGACGTTTGTATCCCCTAGCCCGCGCCCCGCTGGGCTATTCAGCCATACGCGCCCTGCTGGGGGGGGGGGGGGGCAGATTCTGCCCCCCTGTCTAACTTCCGAACCGATGGTCGTAGAAAGACGGGGAAAACGGCAATCGAAAGCTCTCAACAAGGCGGATCTTAAGAGCCCAATTTTTTTTGCTTAAGTAGGTCAGAGGTCAGGTCAAGGTCAGGTCAAGGGTACAAAATGCAAGTTTCTACAGTATCGGCCTTGCACCGTAGTTGCCGAAGAATGGACTGAGACTGATTGCCCAAAACGTGTTCTTAGACTACCAAGACAATATTCGTTGCACACAATGTCATTCAAAGGTCAAGGTCAAGGTCAGGTCAGGTCAGGTCAGGTCAGGTCACCAAAAACAAAATATAGAAAAGGGCATGTGCGACACATGCTCTATGGGTCATTTTACTCATGGAATTCAATAGGCACACTCAATAAGTGATATGGACCACCTCTGGATGAATTTCAGGTCGAGGTCAGGTCAAGGTCAGGTCAAGTGAGGTCAAATTTTGAAGTTGGCTGTTAAGGCCTAAAAAGGTGTCTATCCGATGCAGTTTTTCACGGCGAATCGAATGGTGCTATTTTTGTTTCCGTACAAGGTCTAGAACTTCCAAAAAAATCATTTTTCAAAAAAATTGTGCGTCGTGACGTCATAAAATTTTGAATAACTCCCACATTTTTGAACCGATTCTTCTAAAAATTGGTATGTAGGTGCACATAGACCACTTCTTTGACATATATTCCGGTTTTTTTTCGATTAACTTAAAATTTTGGATTTTATAAATATTTTCCCAAAAAAGTCAGTTTTTTGGAAAAATTTTGGCTAAAATCCAAAATTTTAAAACAACCGAGATAGCCATTTGATAGACAAAGAAGAATCACGTATAACCTTTTTTTGTTACGTCTTGATTCCTTTAAAAATGAAGATGTTAGCGGCGTTTGAAATTTTGCCGTTTTTTGAGGCGAAAATGGCGAACATGACGTCACTAAAACGTCAATTTCTCAACAGTTTTCCGACGGATTTCGCTCAAATTTTCAGGGAACGTGTCAAATTGATGTATGATAAGGTACTGAAAGTTTGACGTCGCTGGCGTAACGCTTTTAGAAGTTATTGGCGAAAAACGGGAGGGGGGCAGATTCTGCCCCCCCCCCCCAGCGGGGCGCGGGCTAGTCCTCCCCAGTGTCTTTATCACTCCCAGCATTCTTACCTATCTGCCAGCGTTCTCACCTGTCTGCCAGCATTCTCACCTGTCTGCCAGCTGAAGCACCCGGCGAATCTTGCCGTAGTTTTGCACGGACGGCACCCGGATCATCTTCACGGTCAGCTCCGGGTCCCACTTGTCCCAGGACGTGTCGGCAGACATCTTCCTCACGTCATGGCTGTGCGTCTCTTTGGTGAACGACCCCTCCCGTATGCGCGCCTTCGCCAACATCCACCGTTGAAAGCTGGAGCGGCGCTTGCCACTCTGAGCTACGGGACGCTCTGGAGATAGACTGTCCTCCGGGCTGGAGTGGCCAGTGAACTGACCTCTCCGCTCTGAGGGAACCTCGGCACTGGGGTGATCAGCGACCTGGCCTCTCCGCTCTGAGGGGATCTGGGTGGTTCGGGCAGTGTCTGCGGCAGTTTCAGGGACGAAAACGTCTCCCGGTGACGCCGAGGCGGCAGAGAGAGCCTCCTCGGCTGGTTCTGTGTCACTTTGGGTAACATCTTCGGTAGCGCGTCGCTGTCGGCCGAGATCTTGCCCCATGGTGCCGGTGCTGGTCGCAGCCGCCGCCGGTGGCACTTGCTCAGCACACTCTGCAGTGGCGCTCTGGGCCTTCTGTGATGGCGGTGGCTTGCGGCCCCTGGAAAGGAATGGCCTTGTCAATGATCGGAAACCGGTTTGTTATTAGATTAGCGTGGATCTACCGTCGGTAGATAGAGTGGTAGATCCGCAAAATCGGTGGAGGGAAGTCTGCAAGGTCACACAGTTACATAGTTTATTTTACTTTAGACGTGCAATGACGTTTAAACGAGAGTTTAAAGTCAGGCGAAGTTAAACATTGTCAATGTCGGAGGCCGAACAGATTGCAATTGGACAAACACTATATACTTACTGATTGGAAAGGGAACAAACATACTGCTTCAAAATGACGTTCGGTTTACGATAATTTGGCATAGTGCAGTCGTGAACATACGGAATATTAACATGAAGTGGTCAGGATGGCTGGCTAGAACTACCAGACCTTGAACGTATATTTGCACTGAATGCATGAGGATCCTTTACGATTAACTTACATAAGATATTACAATAATTTAGACCAGACCCTATAAACGTAACGGACGGAAGCTGTCAGCATTCTGTGTACCGTGCCTGGTGCCATACAGCTGGAAACACTAGTCCTTGTTTTGACAGCTGTCCTTTTGTTTACATAATTCCCCTCGGACCATTTTACATGGTAGACATGACGTTTTGTTTATTAGTTTCCTTCTACGGTTTGTTTAAGAGAAGCTCTTAAAGACATGCAAAGATTATGCCGAAAAAGGATACAAACTCCAAATGTTCTTCAATAAAGATTGCCGTGTCAGCGAGCTGAAAATTTCTAGGGTGAAAGTAGTTTATGTCACAATTTTTTAAGCATTACAGCCATAAGCCATTAACCGAATCGTGGCAAACAAAGAACAAAGAGATGCAAATATGACGGAAAATGCAGAAACCAGCATTTCGGCAACTGCACTGGCTTGGCCAACATAGCGAGCCACAAGATTTTCGAGGTCAGAGCAGGCAAATATATAAGTAGAAATTAATGGTGGGTAAATAGCGTTCAGCTGTGGGTGGTCAGCAATCGCGTCAGTGGTCTCTGATCAGAATCCAAAAGTCAGTGCGTGTTCAACGGCGAACTGAGAACGATAAGCGTTCACCAGTGTTCATCCTACTGACGACTGCCCGCAGGCCATCAGCGAACATCACCCCGTCAGCTGTCAGCAGTCAGCGGTCAGCGGTCAGCGGTCAGCGGTCAGCACCATCCAAACCATCGCGCCCGTCGCCGAGCAGTGACCTCAATTGGCCGCGCTGGGCCCGACCGTTTCGGCCGGACCCCGCCCGGCGTCGACTGTGCGGGCGTCGTAACATCGTCGCCGACGACGGCGCTGTCTCCGGATGGTGACGGCGGTCGTCGCTGAATCCCCGCGGACGCAGCCGGTCAGATGAGCACGGCACTTCTACGCCGCACGGCGCGCGAAATGGCGGGCCACGTGCCGTTTGGAGCGGCACAGCGCGGTGATGAAATCGATGAGCGGCGGATGTGAGAGATGGATGGATCGGGACACGAACAGGTGCAGTGGAAGCGTTTTAGTTTGAAAGTAGGCATGCGCTTTATTCTGGGCTCTTTTTGAGCTTTGAATAGCATGGTCTGTAGGTAATCGTGAGAATGCATAGTGTCACATCCAGGTTGGAAGCTATTACCCAGATTTGGAAGTCGCGATCACGAACCACGGGAAGAATTGTTTCGATTAGCTCTGTAAATCTTTCTGAAGCCATGTGACACCCCAAAATTCTGTATGTGTGTGATTCAATGAATGTATTAATGATGCGTTCACATGAACATGGGAGGGACGTGATTAGAAATTGTTCATCGGCCAACGACGCATACTTTGTTTTTCGTTTGTCGAAACATTGTCGTACGCCGTACGACTCGCATCGGTTGGTGCGGCTTATTTGCTTCCGATGTCGGTTAAATGTTAAATGTTATGACACAACTGTAAAATACCTATAAGGTTCCATTTACCTTCCATCTGCCCAGCCTAAAATTACAAAATGTTCAGTTTACCTCTATTTCAGCAGCACCACAGTTCTCGACAGCTCCGAGTTGGGTACGCATTCTGTCACCGTCTCACTGTCACAGTCACCACATGATACACCGAGACATCGCCCATCACCCAGCCCTGTCATCACCGCTGTGGAGAAAGGCACGCCGTGCACTGGCGCATACCGTGGACTGACTGCCGGTCTGTGCACGTCGTCACGTCGAGTCTGCAGGGAGCATCCGGGCGCAGAACCCGCCCCCGTCCCCGCTCCCGCCCCCGCACGTGCTCCATCATCGCATGTAAACACAGATTGCGCCTTGGCCGCCGCACTGCCATCTGTCGGCTGAATGTGGAACTATAGCAGATGGGAGCCGGTCCATGACTCGCTCGGTTGTCAGCAAAACTACGGCACACCACCGCACGGAACACATGTGACAGTCAGAAGACAATGGCAGGACTGGCTACCGAATGACGTCCCATCAAAAACGCAATTAGATGAGTAACACGCTATGACATTGGTATTTCAAGAGCGAGATTGAGGACTTGTTGGCCTGAGGTGAGGGTTAGGTTATTCAAACTTTTTTCAATATATTTTCGGGGAGCTGAAAATGTTACAAGGATAGATGAAAAGTAGGTAAATACAAATTATACGCAATGGGACAAACTATCGTTTTGATGGGGCCGTTCCACGGGTGGAGCATTTTTTGAAATAATCGTCCATACCTACTGGTTAATTAGGTGTATACCTAAACGTGCCTAAGATTCATCCGAACGGCTTTACTTGATTTTGAAACACTTCTGATTGATATTCTGCAGCGTATGAAAAAACTCATGATCACACATTACGGAGAAAAGGTATAACTGTAGTTGTACGCCTAAACCTTAAGTGTGCAATGTCGGCCTAAGTGGCCATGTGGGTTGGCCTTTGTGAATTTGAGGTGAGAAGGCGAAAAATCCCCTTGAAAACAGCGGCTTTTCAGTTTGTTTCAGGACATCCGACCAGCATTCTTCGAAAGCTCCCGAAATTACAGCTAAACCATCATCATAAGTCATCATAGGTATTCAGAAGAATTGCGTGGCACATGACCTTTAACACGCAATCCCTTTAGCAGCTTCTGGGAAAAATCATAGGACACTATTTTCCCGAAACCGGCGTATCTATGCGTGCAGCTGCCCCCGAGACCGTCAGTGCCTGTCGGGCGTGTCATGCGTCCCACATCCATCATGGTAACTGCCATCGGGACGGAATTAGAAGGCCAGCTGAACTTCTGGAGAGGCTGTCTGAACTGGTCGGAGTACAACATTAATCTTTTAATGACGTCAACTGTCTCTGAGACCTGTGTGAATTCTACCAGTCAGTATGGTGCCTTATGGTCTATAGACAATGTATTAAATTAGGCTCATACCTTGAAACACTTAGTAATGTGGAGTCCCCTATTGTCCGTATCCATTTCCTTCTTTAAAAAAAAAAACAGCCGTCCTGCTAAATTCAATACCGCACTGCCCTTCAGCTATCGGCTTGTATGCCACTCATAGCAGCACTTTTCATCCAGATCCGGTTGCCAACTTGAGAACACACCCGATCATCCCACTTTCTCATCGGAGGAAAGTGTCCTACAATAGCAGCTATAAGAGTCGCTCGGGAATCCGCTTGACACACACGTGGGTCCGGCTGATCACAATGCAGTTAGGCGCAGGGTCGCTGTATAAACGGGACCGGTTGGCAGTCTCTCTGGGACGGTGACAGCGCAGCAGCATGTGGGGCGCAGCTGTCGGCTGGTGCTCTGCGGCCCAGCCCCCCCCCCCCTCCTCCCGCCAGCCCCTCCCCCGCGGGTGGGATCCGCTGGCCTTGAAAACATACCTGCCGCTGCGGGCAGGGATAATTGAGGGCAACTGGCCAGTGAACCCGCCACCAGGCCGGTCGAGTGAGACGATGTGGAACAGGAGAGCGACCTGGGGCTTCTTTTATACATAGATGTGATATCTTTCCAAACGGCTAGAGAGAGCAGTAAAATGTGTCGTAAAGGGATGCCCCGACGGAAAATTGAGGAATGAGAGTGCCGAAAGACGAAAACGGTTCTCAGAGTCCTCACTAGTGGTGTCAATCGGAACTTGAATCTTCGGAATTCCGATTTTGTCCAATGTCCAATTCGGAATTCGGTTGGACAATGACGGCAGGCGTTGGACAACTTTGGACAATCACTTGCTACACCTCAGCATTTTTATAAAGCAATCTTGTTTAACACTGATTGGCGAATAGAAAGCTCAGCTTTTGATATGATTAACACATTAACGCTGGTAATAGTACATTAAAAACAATTAAATGATAGTGTTTGAGTGTAAACTATTGCGTAGGTTTCGGACATCTTTGGACAAATGGCTGGCTTGGACATTTTTGGACGGACAATCGACGTAAGCATTGGAAATTGGACGGACATTGGACATACATTTTCTGAAACTGACACCGTCCTCACCATCTCATTGTGGTCTCACTTTCTATTGTGTGTTCGCATGGTTACGTAGGTGTGAGATAAAAGGTGTGGAAGTATATAAAAAGTGCTATATTGCTCACCAATAAAAATGACAACCAATCCACCTACCAATCCACTCAACCCTCGCACTCGCTGCTCCCAATCTCCCAAACCATTGATTTTATTCACTGCTCTCGTGCAGTGATAACTTTACTCGTGCGCGTTAAATCGACTGATCCCCACACTCCCCCCTGACATCAAAGTCACAATTGACCTCCCCTGACTCCCCCCTGATCTCAAAGACACAAGCGAGATCAATAAGTTACAGTGACACAGTCAGTTTCAACATCACACTCTCGTTCACAACACGCTGTCACGAGTACATCAGTCGTTGGGGTTCCCTTCGTAATCGCGCAGAGCGTCTCAGTGGTTGACCTTCTGTCTGTACCCCATCTCCGGTTGGTTCTACTGCAACAGAGCCGTCGGTCTGGCTTGGACAACCGAACCGGAGAACTAATGGCTCTTCATCTTCACTGGAATCTTGCACGTGCCGGGCTGTAACCTGACTGGTGTTCTGAAGGTTTCCG